CTGTTTTTCCGACCAATAAAACACTGGTCGGTCGAGTGATCTAGGAAACCCGTTAGCAGTTTGGTTATGCTAGTGGAGCAGAAAACGCACACTTCAGCTTTAATGATTTTTTGTTGTGTTTGCAGGAAGTCGGTTTTGCTCTTGGCTATGGACACTTTGCTGCTGTAGTGTAATTATTTAATTTTTTGACCACATCAGTGGGTTGTTGGATGAGTTCAGGCAGTTTTTTTAAAACTACCGTTTCATATGTGTTCTTTGTCTTTTGCTCAAACTCATTAGTCCTCTGGCCTTCATGAAGGAGTGTCAGGTTCTTTTGACTTATAAACAATTCATTATGAGTACTACCATTAGTCACCTGCTGACTGAAGAGAATGTGCAGGCTTTAAAAGCGATTAAACATCAGTCGAGAAATATTACAAGGACATTTCACCAGCCACAGATAACAAAAAAATAAATTATTTTTTTTTTTTTTAAAGATGTTTTCACAGATGAAATGAAGGTGAATGAGGATGAGGGACTTTGAAAAGACACCAGCTGTGGTGCGACAGTAGATGCTCCACATGCAGAGACAGAGGGACAGAATAAACAACTGTAAGATTGTACTGCCTCCACATGGTCATAGAGAGACACTGGATTTAAAAGTGGTAAATTGGCAATAGAGTCTTAAAATATCAGTGCTGTTAAAAATTAGTAATCATGATTAATCACGTGATTTTCAGTTGCTTTTTTAGGGAAATAATGGTCCTAATTCATGAAAATTGAGCAGCGGGATTGAATATCAATAAATGTGTGCACAATTCAGAAATGAATTGAGAATCAATTCCTGAATTTCAATTCAATTCTTGAATTTGAATTGATGTAAAAAAACAGGATCTAGAATTACAATTTGAGGGGAAAAAGGGGAATTGAGGATCAAAGGAAGCAGAAATCCAATTTTAAATAAAATCTAAGAAATTCATATGAAGAGTTCAGATGCAAAAGCCTCTAAATGCCATTTGAAATTTTCTTCTTTAATGATGATTTTTATCAAACTTGTATATTTAAGTTCAGTAATTTCACTTAAATAACAATTAATAGGTAATTATCATTGCCATTTAAGTGAAATCACTGAACTTAAATATACAAGCTTGATAAAAATTATCATTCTAGAAGAAAATTTTAAATGGCACTTAGAGGCTTTTGCATCTGAACTCTTCATATATATATATATATATATATATATATATATATATATATATATATATGAAGTTAATTGTCAGATACAGTATATATATATAGGCTATCACCTGCTGTTAGCATCCCATTGACTCCCATTCATTTTGGCGTCACTTTGACAGCAAATAACTTTACATCTGAGGCGTCCAAAGACTCCATTTGTTCATTATTTATTTCTAAAGAAACACGACAATGTATAAAAGGCTCCATTACGTTATGGCCCCGTAGAAGCCGTTCTTGTAAAAATAGGCTAAAAATTGCGTCATAACCATTCGACTCTCCGTCGCACAGTAGAGAAGTTACTGTATAGACAGGAGGAGAAGCTCGCACAGCCTCGCAGGCAATCTTTTACTGTCTAAAGTCACCCCATGGCATAAATAGAAGCAAAATGACAAAATAATTAATCAGAATACTTACCAAAAGTTGCTCCAGGTCACGCTTCGCCGGCTCTGTGCACGATTAAAATTTGTCTTGGCACAGCTACTAAAAGATTTACAACTGTCATTCAGTCAGTTTGCTCACGTGACATGTACGTCGTCAAAATCAGTTTGAGGCTGCGCAGAACGCTTGGCTATCAGGAAGTGAGTGCCCATGTTGAGCTTCAACTCTCTCCGTTGAAATCAACGGGGTCGCTGTGTCCATTTCCTTTACTTTTGATTCTCGGATTGCATGCACTGCGCAGCTGTGCAAAGGAATTACGTCAGGGTTGCCAACTCTCACGCATCTGTTTGGAGTTTCAATGTTGGGCACAATGTCTTATACGCCATGTATAGTTTGTCCAATTTTAATTTGGCATAACAGTTTTACTGATTTAAATAAAATTTGTTTTGGGAGTAGAGTTCATAAATTATTGTTCTTTCCCATATGATTTTGTAAAACTATGTTGAGACCTCTGTCCCGGGGGTTCGGGGGCTCCCCCGCAAATTGTTTTGTACATTTTAAGGTTAAATCCATCAATCTGGTGCACTTTGAGAGCTCAAATTTAAGAGCTTTAACCGGCTTCAACCCATGAATTGTGACATTGAACAAAGGAAAAGCCTCGACTTGTACCTGGACATTAAAGAGGAATCAAACATCTTTTTAGTTATGATATAATCTTCTGTTTTAGGATGCCAAACGATTATTATAATAATGTAATAATGATTTATATATATATATTCCTATTACGTAAAAACCATATAAGCCTAGCCTATGTACTGTATAAATGAAAATTAATATTTCAAAAGTATATTTTACTTACACTATTGTATAGGAAGATTAAAATAGTTTTGTCCTAATTTCTTCACTTGCAAGAAATAAACCCTTGAGCTTTTATTTTGGAGAAAACACCAGATCACCATGCTGACTGCGTGTGCAAAGTGCACACTTTTCTTTAAATCACGCAGCACAAACAGAATGGCTATATAGGCTACTTAATTACAGTCTTGTGCTGTTTTATAAAGGCACAATGTCATATCATGGTTTCGGTGTTGGGAAAAGGGAGAAGAGAGAGTTCGGCAAAAGGCGGAATTCGAACTCGGGTCAATCCTTTTTACAGTCTATAGTCAAACACGTCAAAAGCTTCTTTCAAGCACCTAAAGCCCTCGCCCTACGACACTGTAGATATTCAGTGAAGGGCATCTTTTTAGCCTAAAAAACAGGCACGTAGTGAAAAGTACGCTCTCAACTCAGTTTAAGTCATAGCGCAGTGCAGCGTCTCACTGTGCATCGCAAAAGCCCGTGTTGACAGTTTGTTTAATATAAAGCGGGAGATTACCAGATACAGTATTTTGCTCGTGCCCAGTGGGTGTTGTAGCCTAGGCAACCAAATTACATGCCGTTTGAACTGACGCGCTACTGCGATCGGTCACATTTAAAAGCGCCAAAACGTTCCATATCAAGAGTAAACTTCTCTGTCTAGTCTGTGTCATCCTTTTCCGCGATTTTTCTCTGCGTGAGAAAATGCAGTGGTCCAATCAGTAGTTAAAAGCCCGAACTTGCTTATAGTAATAATAAAAAAAAAATACAGCACAGAAGAATTTCTAATTTAGCGTGAGATTTCTTTGTTGAGCGTGAAACCGTGAGATTGAGGCTGAATGCGTGAGCGTCACGCCAGATGCGTGAGAGTTGGCAACCCTGTTTTATTTACTAAATGTAGGTCATGGTCTATTTTCACCACCATCATTTTCCATTCCACACTGTTTCCTCTGATTGCTTCCCTGTCATGTTTTGGCAGGTTTGCAGGGGGTCCTCTTGGATCCAGCGCCGGAGAGCCTGAAACAAAGGCAGTCGTGACTACTTACAGCCTCCACACAGAGCTACTGTAAAGCTCCTCTGTTCAGAGCAACACTGGGCAAAACATCTCACCCAATGGAACAACAGGACCCCTGCTATGTTTATCATCCAAGTCTGGTGGATATGAGGTATCCTTCTTGCACATAAAGGGTTAGAGTTTCCATGGCAACCTCCTAACATCATAACATATTGTAGCTTCAGCAATGTGATCTAAACACATTTCGGTCCATCTTTATGTCTGAGTGCTGCTACTCTAAATGATAAAAACCATGAGCTATATGAGTATTTCGGACACATACACACTCACAAACAATAACAAAGGCATCACCGAGGACAATATTCATTTATTTATTTGGTTAACGTGACACAAACCGTTTTTGATTGGAGGTATTAGTCTTTCGCATTAGTCTGTGAAGCGAATATGACAGCAAGTATGATATGACTTTGCTTCTACTTGCGATAGTGTGATGGGGAAGACACAAAGTTCAAGAATGTCTTTGCCTTAATGAATTAAGACATTATTCATGCAGATTTCATAGACTTTCTATTCTATTCGTAGAAAAGTTCCCATAGAAACAGACTCTAAGTACAACTAATGCAATGAGAGCAAATGATTCACTTCCCACACACTCCATCGATCTACCAATGCATAAATGTCACAATTCTCCTTTAAAGTTGTAGACATAATGAATATATTAGCATACTGTGATGGTGCTGAAATATGCCGGAAAATATCGTACACTGGTTTGTTTTCAAATGAATGCACTCTACAAGTTTACAATCAGTGAAGTTTGTGTGAAAGACGATGAACAGCACAGCGGCTCAAATTACTTCAAGTCCAAAATCAGCAGCAATACATTATTTTGTTCACAAAGGGTCTCATTCGCTAACAATCATATTCACTCAAAAGTCATTATTGATCAAAAAGTTTGGGAAGTTTGGGAAAAGTTTGTGAATAGTAAATGTAAAAAAAATGCATTTTTAAAATAGTGCAGTGTAAAAATATGATTGTAGCGCAAATTGTGAAAGGTTCTACATAAAGATACATGTGCTGTCTAAAGACCCAAGGTTTTTATTGTTTTCAACTGGTATTGAGATTTCTTTATTGGGTAAAGTCGCTGTTTGACCATGAAAAAAAGTCTGCAAAGTTATAAAGTAGTGAGTTGAAACTCATTTCTGAAACACTCAAAGTGGATGACCAATCACAACACACTTTTCCAGCCAACCAATCAAAGCACATTGCACTTTTTGGGAGGAGGGGCTTCAATGAGACTGACTTAGGTATATACACTAGATGTCGCTTTGGCTGCGGCAGTTCATTAGAACGAATGCGTCAATAGAGCCACCATCTTGGAACAGGGGAGCCCCTCCACTTTAATGCATCAGGGCCAATGTAGACAAAGGTCTAACGGAAATAAAATCACCATAAATCATCATGAATGCGATTTTCTAATTTTTTGGGTTCGTTCCAACGGTCAGACAAGTATTTATCATTGATTCCAGAAAAATGTATTTATCATTGCTTCCTAGTTCAGATTTCATTTGTGAACATCATACGCAGCACAAAAGTCCTTCGCCATCCATTAATTCAAAGTAAAGGCAGAGATAGCAGCGTTACCTAGCTACTTCCTATGACAAGACCCCTGTTCCAAGATGGCGGCGGTGTTGACACATGCTTAGAAGAACCCCAAGGTGACATCTAGTGTGTATGTCTATGGTTTCTCAAAAGCACAGTGAAATAAGTTGGCGGCAATGGCAATGATTCTACGATCTACTTAGGCTTTTCAAGTGTTACTGATAGACTGGGAAGAGAGGTACTAAAATAATGTCTGAACCTTTTTTAGTAGACCCCAAAAACAAAACCAAGACTTTGTAAAACGACATAATATGGCCTTTTAAGACTGTGTACTGTTTTAAGACTGTTTGAAGACATTTAGTCTTGTGAATCCACCATAAATTTAACATGAGAACATTGTACCAAAGAACATTTGTACCCTATTATTAGTGAATGAGACCCAATTGATAAGAGTTGAGGTGCGTTCACATTAACTGTTGTTCAGTGAATTTTCATGGGCTAAATCTACTCATTTTAACAGGAATCCACACACAAAAAAAGATTTTCCCACACAGATTTCGTATTACGTTCAGTTGGTCATGTGAATTCACCATGTTGACCCACAGAGAGCTGCGCTTCATACATCTCTATGCTATTTCCAAGAGGGGGTTTCTGCAGCAATGCCACCTTTGAGTGAACAGTTTATAAAAGAACCATTTTTCTTAGTGTGAAGAACATTTTTAATAATCTATCTGACCTTTTTTCACTATGAAGAACCTTGTGTGGAATGTAAATATTCCATGGAGTTCAATTGCCCACAACATTTCAGTAATGTGCACCTTATTTGCTAGGCTTCTTTCGAGAGAGAGCGAAAAAAAAAAAAGTGTTCACGCTTTGCTGTGTGGTCCGGTTGCTTCACATTTCTAAATGGTGGATTTATCTATCTACACTTGTCTCTGCCAAGCGGTTGTTCATGATTCCCAGCGCTCCGACCCCTCCGGAGAACTCATTGTGACGCAAGCTGCTCCCTAACTGGCGAGGATGTCCGTTAGCCATCTCTGACAGCTGCTTCTGCATGATGGCCAGATTAACTTTATTAGCGGCCAGAAAGTCTTTCATGGAGATCATCTCTCCAGACATCCGCCGCCCATCCGCCTCGCTGTCATTGACCACGTCAGTCTCGATGGAGTTTTCCCGCCGGGTTCTCATGTGGCCCGGGACGACCACGTTCCTCCGTGTGTGGCGGTTCCCTCGGCCTGGGCAGCGGCAGGGAGTCTCCAGCCTCCGCAGAAGCCAGTTGAGAACTTGCTTGATCACGATGGAAATGACGTTGAACAGCGAGTAGATGCAACACACTCCGGTTAGAATGAAAAGGAAGTTGCCCACCCTGTAGGCCGCCTGAGCCTTGTACATCTCACGCTGGTTGCTCACCATATCCCCAAAACCAATGGTGCTGAAAGCCACGAAACAGAAATAGAGGGCGTCCAGGTAGTCCCAACCCTCGGCCGCAGAATACATGGCGGACGCGCAGCAGGAAACCAAGATGGCGGCGACTCCTAAGATGAGCATCACGCAGTACACCGAAGGTTTCCAGCCGGCCAAGCTGTCCGCGTGCCGCTCTCTGTTGCCGGCGGGGGGGCGGTGGCAGTTTTGGGCCGGACCGGCTTTGCGGCGTTCTCTGCGCTTGTGGCAGAACTTCAGAACAAATGCGATCACGGTGATGACACGTTCCAGGAAGAGGTTGAAGAACAAAATGGTGGCAGCGCAACCAATAAGACCATAAAAGATCAGGAAGATCTTTCCGGCAATAGTGACGGGTGTCGTCATCCCAAATCCTGTGCCACATACAGAAATAAAATCAGGATCATAGGTTTATACCCGTTATAATCCAATCACAGCATGCGCAATGTATAATACAGGCTACAAGAAAAAAGTTATTATAGTGCCACTTAATATACTATCTTTTTTTATGTAATATAATATTATATATATAATGTGCATGTTACATTTTGTTCTGGTTCCTTAACCTAACTTCCATTTGTTTAGTTTAGTTTCTATTTAAGTCTTTTTAACAGTAAAAAACAACAACAACATCTTGAAATCCACCTATTCTATTATTAAAAAAAAAAAATTATTGTTACAAGTTGTTTCATCAGGTCAGAATTTTTTTTATGATTGAAGTACTATTATAGTTTTTACTAATATTTTGAATTCATGTTTAGCTTTAGATTTTTAGCTATTTTGTTGAGTGTTTTGTCATTTTTATTTTAGTTTTAGTTGTTTTAGTACACCAGGTTAAGCTATGAAAATGCAGAAAGGAGTTTAAAAATATTTATATATATTTTTGATTTAATGTTTATTTTATGTAAAGTAAATAAAATAATGCCAACTTTCAATCAACATACACAAAAGTGTTTGTATATTTTGATGACAACTTAAAATCTAAAATTATACATGTTGGCTAATTGTATGATTTCAGTCATCTCTGATTATGTCAATTGTATAGATTGAATGAGTGTATAGAAACATGAATTTAAAGCTGCTTTGAAACGATATGTATTGGGGAAAGTGCTATACAAATAAATGTACATTGAATTGAATAACCCTGTATCAGGTGTTGCAACATGTTGTTTTTATGCCTTTGTCTGCGTCAAATGTGATTTAGACACATGATCGAGGATTCTGCATACAGTGTGAAAAAGTATGTTGTGTTTCGCCAAAGTCTAAAGACATCAAAACATACAGAGAAGCTGTAATAATAAAAACCCTCCAGCCACTGCAGAACTACAATGGATTAGCACATGCAACTGCTGTGGGCTAATTAGAAACTGAGCTGTAATTGTCCTTTAATGAGCAGCATGTGCTCCGAATCCCACGTGAACCCTGAGCTCCAATCAACTCCAGCATCTAGACAACCCCACTTTGCCTTCTCACTAGAAATAGGTTGCCATTGGTGACGGCAGTCTTACCTCTCTAGTTTTTTTTTTCTTTTTCTTGCATTGGTCATCTTACCGATTCCTACTGTGTGTCTATTGATAACCTGAAATTAGGTGCATGAATTAACTAATGATGAATAAGACTAAATGCCCTGGATAACTGTCCACTCTTCATATCCATGATATAAATTGTCTATACAAGCATCAGTATTAATGAGGCTAAAATAAACTTCCTCTGCTCTGCCGTCTAATTTTTTGCATATGAAATGTCAGATGTGACTGCATAAAAAAAGATCTGATCTTTAATATTCTCTGTTGCCCTTTTGAAAAGACAATTCTGACATGCTGAGAATGACTTGAACTTGGTTTACGGAGATACTTAATTTAAAGTTCTCCTGAACTGAAAAGTTTTCATTAATGTTGCACTTATAGGAAATCAGGCTACAAAACTGAAGGAAGTATATGTATCTGGAAATCTGTTTTTGTGGTTAATCTTTTTATCACGTTCAAAGATTTTCAAATAGGTTAAATGTCTTGCATGCTTCTTCACAGAAATGTGTGTTTTTCAGATGTGTCAAGTCAAGTGTGTGTTAGACGTGTTGACAATAGCATTCACTTCAATGAATGAACGAGATGAAGGATTCAAACAGCTCCATCTATTGAATTGTTAAGAGTCAGACAGAAAATCTTTGGCAAATGTCTTGAAAAAATAACAGATGTTTTTTTTTTTGTTTTTTTTTTTTGCGCATAGCACACATGTATTAAATGCATGTTTCCTTTTTCTTGTGCTTTAGCTAGTAATATCGCCTGCTGAAACTGAGAAAAAAATTATCTAAAAATTGCAAACAATGTTTAATTTGTGTGATTTAGTTAACATGAGATCATCAGAATTATAAAAAAATATTTTATATCTATACTTTTTTCATAATTCTGATTATATAGGCTACATAAGACTCACGGGTGTGATGTTTAACTGTTAACAGATGAAATACATCTAAAAAGAGGATCTTTGGGAAGAAGTCTGAATTGAATAGCCTATTAATTTTACAAATATCTAAAGGTGGCGAATCTGGCGAAGATAGAATGTAGTAGTATAGCTGCATGTGAAATATATATTCTATTTCCAAAGTGCAAATAGCTTTTGTAAAAACAAATGGCAATTATTGTTGGTTTAACTTAAAAAATTAAGTGGTTGCCTAAGAATTTTAAGTCCATTGAAATTACTGCCATGAAGTACAAAATATTTTGTCTGCAGAACCACGACAATTATCGAAATTGGATTTGACAAAAGAAAAATAAATAAATAAATAAATAAATCTTTACAGTGCATGTCTCAAAAATGAGATGTTTTAAAAACCATTCAATCTGATTCAAATTGTTAATTAAACCACGAAGAAAATCCATCTAGTCTTAAACATTAATATTTTAGCCTATAGTGCCAAAAGAAAGAAAAAAATTATATCGTTTCGCCGTCTGAATGCGCACCAAATGGTAAAATGACCTGTTGCATCTTACTTTAATGTAGCTACTTGTGCTGGATAAAACCACAAAAATAGATTAAAACATACTTTGTAATCTTGTAGTCTGACATTTTTGTCTAACTGCCATGCAGTTTAAGGTTGTCTTGACAGCTCACCGATAGTTGAAACCACAGTTCCGACGAAATAAAAAGCTCCCGCAAAATCCCATCGCGGTCTGGTCGAGTCCACACGGATTCCCGCAACATTGGCCTCCTCATAGTTCCTCAGGAAGTTCTTCAGGTCGTCTTGACTCAGGTTGTACTTGTGTGTGAACTGCTCGATCCTCTGAGCCCATTTCTCCTTGGCGAGCTTCTCCTTCGGATGCTCCAGGGATGAAAACACCGCTGCCCCACATAACAGGTAGATGATGATTAACAAAGCCAGCATTAGAAATCTCGCATTGTCTTCGTTTAGGGTACCAATGCTGTTGCAGCAGCATCCAGCCCGGCAAGCCATTATTTTATAGCAATATTAGCCTATTGGAACAGATGAACCACCACATCCCAGTTCATCGTGGATCATGCATTTTTTTTCTCTGTTCAGAGGTCTGCGTTCAAATGTTTCAAGGATCCTAAAGCGTTATACTGCTCGAGATGTCCAGTTTCTGACGGAACCGATCTGCCAGCATGATGCGCTCTGTCTCCAGCGCAGTGATGGACTGTGTGACCCCAACCTCTCCAAGAGCGCGCGTGGATCCGCTCAGTTGCGTCAGACGAGGTCACACACACACACACACACGGTTGGGTTCATGACTAGGTGCCCGATATGACAAAAATGAGAAATCTTTTTAAACATCTCATTTAAAAAAGTTATTGAAAACATCATTCATGTTGGTTTCATTTTGATAAAAAAAAAATTCTATATAAATAGCCTGTTTAATGATTATGAAAAAATGGTAGAACCAATTTTTTAACTTTTATCAATCACATAATCTTAATTAATCTGACATACCTTTCAGGGAGACTTTTTAGGGTTATTAATATCACATTTTTAGGGATACTCCATTTGACTCAAATCAAATGTGCCTTTTCTTAAAAATGTATCATGATATATATATCTATATCTATATACATATACATTTTTTTAACTCAATGAAATTTAAACACAGTCATGAGGTCTGTTTTTGATTTATGGTCACATAATAACAAAATTGCTTTCTGCTTGTCAGCCAAACCACATGATATGGATTTGGATGACAAAGTTTTTCAGATATTAATACATAATACATTATGTATTACATTACTCCAGTCTTCAGTGTCACATGATCCTTGTAATGGTGGCTGTTTCAGAGGAACAAAAGTAGGATCCAGATGCAGAAAGCAATTATTCAAACAAACATAATAAAATGTCAACAAGAAGGACAACACCAGACAAAGAACATGAGAAAAACAAGAACAATCAGGAAGTAATCAACAAGCAAAACTACAAAGGACTACAAAACATGGTGCAAATCAGGAAAGTGCACATTAGACCAGGGGAACACAAGACAGAAATCATGACAATCCTTCAGAAATGTATTCTAAAATGATGATTTGCTGCTCAAGAAACATTTCTTATTATTGTCAATGTTGAAAACTTGTGAAAAGTTTCCAAATGAATTTGTCATTTTGTAACGGCAACCTGTTATATCATACAAGAAGAACTGTAGTGTATTACGGAAGTAATATTGAAACTTTCCATGTGTTTTTGAATAACTTAACACAGATAAAAGAATGAACATCACATCATTGACATGCACAAAAGTCTTGTAGTCATGTAACATTATGCACGTTATGAGATTAGACTGTGTGGTGGGAATACTTCATTGTGATCAATAGTGTATGACCTTTTGAATCTGGTTGGGAAATTTTCAGCATTTACTCTGGGACGTCCAGAGGCAACTTCTGTAAATGTCACAGCTCGGACAGGGAAACGAAAATCCATTATGCATTTAAGACAGACAGACACAATGTATTTATAGATTCGGCCCTAAACTGTCCGATCGATTAGTTTAGACATTGCAAAGAGCTTTGAAGTCTGATGCATTGCGTTATTTTTAGAGCTCAAAAAATGCACTTGTCCTTAGAAATTTTTCAGGACCTTGGTGATTAGGATTACGTTCAAATCTGGCCTGGCTCCACAGGGGCGACAGAGGGGGGACTGGTTCACCCAATAAGGAGTTCAGCCTGACAGCCACCCATTATTGTCATCGTACAGTTATTTTTTATCAAATAATAGGATTTTAATGTCAAAGTTTAACTGTCAAAGGCATGTTAACACACAGAAGTGTGAATTGGCCTATAGATTGAGGATAGAAAAAAATATAATACTACTTTACATTTAGTCATTTAGCAGACGCCTTTATCCAAAGCGACTTGCAAATGAGGAATACAGCAAGCGAGTCATCATGAAGAGGTGCTTAAAATACAAAATTTCAGACATTGCTTGTGCAGAGTTGCACAAGTCCGACAAGGGAGGGATTCAAATAAGTCTAAGATGAGTTTTCAGCTGTCTTTTGAATGTTGTAAGGGATTCTGCATTCCGGATGAGGGCAGATCATTCCACCAGCAAGGAACCGTGAATGTCTGAGAATGTTCTGGAGAGTGACTTTGTGCCTCTCTGTGTTGGTACCACGAGCCGTCACTCATTGACCGATTGTAGGCTTCTGGGATGCAGACTCGTAGGAGTGAGTAAAAGTAGGGGAGGGGTCCAAGCACTGAACCCTGGGGAACGCCTGTGATCAGTTGATGTACTTTGGATGCCTCCACTCTCCAGGCAACCCTGAAAGACATACTTGTGAGATAGGACTGGGAGTGAAACCAGGGGAGTGGAGTTCCTGTGATGCCCAGTGATGAGACGGTGGACAGAAGGATCTGATGTCGAAGGCAGCAGACAGATCCAGGAGTATGAGAACTGAAGATTTGGAAGCAGCTTTTACAATCTGCAGGGCTTCAGTGTCCAGCTGGTTATTCTGAGAGAGGATAGATGATACTTGGTTGAAAGCAACTCATTCAAGTGTTTTCGCTATGAATGGTAGGAGAGAGATAGGTCTGTAACTCTGTACAATTGATGTGTTTAATGTGTTTTTTAAGGAGTGGGGTTCCCTGAGCCTGCTTGAATGCAGTAGGGAAAATTCTAGAATGGACAGAAGAGTTGATAATGTGTGTGAGTGCTGGTAAGTGGGAGAGATGGCTTGCAGAAGGTGTGAGGGAATGGGGTCAGGATGGTAGGTGGTAGGATGACTAGAGAGGAGAAGTTTAGACACTTCTGCCTCTGTTAGTGGAGAGAAGGAGGAGAGAAGATTTCTGGCTGAGGGTGTGGTTGGTCTGGGTTTGTGTGTGTGTGTGAGTACTGACTGCTGATGGTTGCTGTTTTTTCGGTGAAGAAATTAGCGAAATCATCCGCAGTTAAAGAGGAGGCAGGTGGTGGTGGTGGACGGGGACAGAGGAGAGAGTTGAATGTTTTGAAAAGTGTTTGTGTGTTAGAAGTGCTGTTGATCTTATGTTCACAAAGAACATCAGATAACCAGGGGTCAGAGGGAGTAGCACATGCTGGCCTGGAGAAGAGAGGGCAAATGTTGTCTAGAGTAGAAGTTAAAGTGGATTTTAAAGTATCCGTTGCTGTATTCACATCCCGAGAGGAGAAGTGTGAGGGTGAGGTAAGAGAAGATGACACAGCAGATGAAAGATGGGGAGACATTAAGCGCAGGTTTCGTCAGAAAGTAACTGGTAGAAGGGTTGGTGGTGCACAAGTAGCAAGTTGAAGATTAAAAGTAATGAAGAAATGATCGGAAATGTGCAGAGGTTTCAACAAAATATTGTCTGTAATGCAGTTGCATATGTAAATAAGGTCAAGTTGGTTGCCTTATTTGTAAGTACCTGATGAGCCATGTGAGTGGTGATGAGCCATTTGAGATCGAATGAGGCTAGGAGAGAGATGAAGTCGATTGGGTAAGGCTTTTCTAGATTAATGTTGAAATCGCCAAATACTAGTATTTCAACATTAATCTAGAAAAGCCTTACGCAACCGACTTCATCTCTCTCCTAGCCTCATTCGATCTCAAATGGCTCATCAAATGGCTCATCATGGGGTGTAGTCCTCAGGGAATGAAGACAGCAGCACATCCAGTTCCTCAACAAAGGTCCCTATTTGACATTGAGGGCAATAAATAACTGCAATGAGTTGTAAGTGTAATAGCATGGTATTCAAAAGAATTGTTATTGCATGGAGAAGAGTGAGTTGAGTATTTCCAATTGTTAGATATGTGAAGACCTGTACCCCCTCCCCTTTCATGCCATGTTGTGATTACCGTAATTTTGAGATGAAAACATATTAGTTTTGAGTTTCAATGTCAACATTATCAATGCCTAAACGAATCTGCAGCGGTCAGGTGGTACAACTAGGAGCTCTCAGAAAAGAGAGCATCAGCTTTAGTTTCTGTTCTGACAGCCGCGAGACCACGCCGAATGCTGTGAATGTGTGTTAGAAATTAGGAACGGCAAGAGAACATCGTGCTTGGTACGTTTTTCATCTTCAAACCAAAGAGTCTTCAGCCAACAAGTTTAAATCCTGTCTTACTAGCGCTTCCCATAATGTTTATACATTAGATCAGTAGGCAGAGAGTAGGCAGTCTCTTGTGGCTTTTAGACCACATTACACAATGAAAGCAATCCGGTCAAAAATGTTTTAGATCTTCTGTGGAACTGTTCGAAAGTTGACAAGCTCAAACCGTTTTTGAGCCTGCATTTATAGAGCCTGTATTTAGTTTGCGTGTATGTGTAATGGTGAAACAGTTTGTTGAGTGCGCATACCCAGTCTCAATCCTTTCAAAATAAAAGTCTTGAGTCACAGTCAGTCTGTGACACCGTTTATACCTGCATTTAGCGCCATCCACTTGTTATCCGATCAATGGAGTTAATGGAGATTTGTGGGATGCACATCCAGGGCACAAAGCTCCAGTTCCACCACATCCCAAAGACGCTCTATTGGGTTGAGATCTGGTGACTGTGGGGGCCATTTTAGTACAGTGAACTCATTGTCATGTTCAAGAAACCAATTTGAAATGATTCAAGCTGTGTGACATGGTGCATTATCCTGCTGGAAGTAGCCATCAGTGGATGGGTACATGGTGGCCATAAAGGGATGGACTTGGTCAGAAACAATGCTCAGGTAGGCCGTGGCATTTAAACGATGCCCGATTGGCACTAAGGGGCCTAAAGTGTGCCAAGAAAACATCCCCCACATCATAACACCACCACCAGCAGCCTGCACAGTGGTAACAAGGCATGATGGATCCATGTTCTCATTCTGTTTACGCCAAATTCTGACTCTACCACCTAAATGTCTCAACAGAAATCGAGACTCATCAGACCAGGCAACATTTTTCCAGTCTTCAACTGTCCAATTTTGGTGAGCTCTTGCAAATTGTTTCCTCTTTTTCCTATTTGTAGTGGAGATGAGTGGTACCCGGTGGGGTCTTCTGCTTTTGTAGCCCATCCGCTCAAGGTTGTGCATGTTGTGACTTCACAAATGCTTTGCTGCATCCCTCGGTTGTAACAAGTGGTTATTTGAGAAGTTACTCTTCTATCAGCTTGAATCAGTCGACCCATTCTCCTCTGACCTCTAGCATCAACAAGGCATTTTCGCCCACAGGACTGCCGCATACT